CGCTGCTGCTCTGTAGTAATCGAGATCGGTGTAGTCTGAGTTACCGTGTAGAGGCTGTAGTGGTACAACTGTGCGAGCTTGCATTGAGCGCTGGGTCGACAATCGTGAAGGGGATATGGAGATCAAGATCGCTCGGTTGGGTGCAATCCCAGAATGCAGATCGGGCTCTTCTCGGCTTGGGCACTTGCGCGTGGGGCTGCTAAAGGGTGTTGCTGTAGACGGGTCGGCAGAGGGTAGGAGATCCGGAGTGTATCGGAATTGCGCTATTCGTTGCTCGAATGATGGTAGGGTTGCAGTTGGCAGAGTTTCTCTGATAGGTGAATTCGCGAAGTGCTTCGAAGCGTTGGCTACAAATGCTTGTGTGTTTCCCTTCTGGTGATGATCGGTACGGCGTCCGTGTCCTGTGATTGTGAGAGGTCCAGAACTGTCGGATGAACTGTCATTTCCTTCGCCGGCATTGCCGATGCAGTCTTCCTCACGCATAGCTAGACCGCGGTTCCTGTATGCTCCTTGCATCTCAAACTGTCGTTGGGTACCTTGAGTATGCGACAGTAAGTTCCTGCCGTTATCATCGACCTGATGTCCAGTTGGGTGACCCCAGAGATCGATGCGTCCCGCCCGGTAGTCTTCCAAAACCCTATTTTGTGCCTCGTCTCTGCTTCTCCGGTGTTTCATAGCAGTCTGCATAGCTGGTATCTCGTCGGCGTCCTCGCCAGTGTAGTCTGGATGAGCTGCGAGGTAGTCTGTTGTATACCTGACGCTGTGAACGTCGGATTTGGGGTTGACTTTCGACAGCTCCGCGACCATGTGCTCGTCGATCGCGCCAGCGTTCCATAGGTGGTGGGCATGTGCGGATAGCATGGCTTTCTCAGTCGCTGCGTGGCTGTCACCATAGACAGAGCGACTTCGCTCGACCGGCGTGTCTGGCGCGGCTTCCGGTGTCGGTTTGAGCTTCTTCTTAGGCGCCATTGTACTAGGGCGAGATAAAGGGAAGGCTGATCCCGATCCGAGTGTGCGTGTGGCCTGGCTTGCTGTGTCCATAACGATGGATTGGCGGTAAGCGACGTGAGTTCGGGAGACAAACAAGAATGCTGCATGTAGAAAGGTAGCAATAAAATGACGTAGCGGGACAAGACTTGTGCAGAAGTGAAAGGGTCGCGTCCACGAAGTTCCAAAGTTGTTGGTGCAACATGTTAGACGCAATGACAATGAAGAAATTCTGTCCACACTGAATAACGACATGTTTTTTTGTATTCAGAATGCTCGGCTAAGCCTCACTGATGCCGAAATCGACGTTCAATAGTGGGAGTGGTGGATAGTGCAATATGCGCTGCTGGTGTGTAGTGTTCATGGCTTCAACATTTGAATTTAGGCCCCAAGGATCGCCGAACATGTCACAGGGTTAGTAAGTATGCGTACAAACTCCAAGCGGCCATAGCTACGAAGAGGTGAGTGTCCACTGAGTGTGACAATGATGCTGATTAGACATGGCTATCGAACGGAAGACAGGCCGACTTTCGTCGACTCGACTGACGCTTGCCTTATTAAGACTAAATCGAACGCGTCGCGTGCGCCAACCCGGGCCTCCACCAATTGCCACAGGTCTCGCATTTCATTTTGGCTGTTCTGGCCTCGCTGAGCGATAGGATGCTTAAATCAGTCCAGAAAATTGCCTCCAGTCTTGGCAAGTACTTCGTCGTAGTAGCTCTGGAATGCCAGCCATCCCTTCTCAGGCGTCCCAACCTGCTTATATGTCTCGGCAGCCTCGCTTTCCGGTATGATCTTGGGCTTGTATCCACTTCCAGCGGCCGCTGCATCTACAAGGAGTTGTGCTTGACACGTCTTGTCGAGGGAGAGGAACCAGAAGGCTGCTTCGTCGACGGACTTGCCCACGGTGAGGATGCCGTGGTTTTGGAGGATAGCTGCTTTGCCGTCACCTGTGCAAGTGATCAGTAGCGTAAAGCATGAATGTAGACAGGGTCATACCTAAGGCATCCGCAATCCTCTCACCCTCTTCGCTGGCCAGCACGACTCCGCCAAACTGGTTGTATACGCCGTGGCTCTTGTAAAAGCGGATGCTGTCCTGTGTGATCATGTCCAGTTCCCTACCAAAGGCGCTAAAGGCCTTGCCATGTACGCTATGCGCATGACAGGCTGCATGTACGTCTGGCCGTCGCCTGTGTATGGCGCTGTGAATGGCAAAAGCCGCCGCATTGATGGGCTGGTCGCCGTGCACCACCTCGCCTTCCTCGTTCACCAGTATCAGATCCGACACGCGTATCAGGGAGAAATGCGCCGACAATGGGTTGAGCCAGAAATGGTCGGTGAGTATTGGGTCGCGCACGCTGATATGGCCGGCGACACCTTCGTCGAACCCGCGCGAGGCGAAGATGCGATAGGCAGCCGCGAGATGCTGTTTACGGTAGAGGCGTTCGTCTTCGAGGCGTTCAAAGGCTGGGTACTTGCGGACTTTGAGGGTCTTGCCCGACTTGGTCCGGCCCATAGCTGCTACTGTCTGGTTGTCATTGCTTTCGGCGTGATCGACCCGCGTGCCTGCCGCAACGGACGCGTGCAGGTCCTTGGACGATGTTGTGAGCGCCCGAGTAATACGTCGTGGGTAGAGCCATTGGGGGCGCCGTGTGAATGACCCTGCGACCTGCACAAGTGACGAAGGAAGAAGGCGAGCTGTAGGCATGGTCAGTGCGGTAGGTTAGCAATCTATGCAGTGGAAGAGTACAACGGCTTCCCCGCCGGGTATGACATGACGGATAGTCCGCTGCGCATCCCTGGGAGTCACTGGACGCGATTGGTGAGCTTCGCAAGAGAGGAGAAGATGGGCATCGGAGGTTAGGCCGAGGCTTGATGGGAGATGACATAAGCGGAACTCGCCCAACACTCGCTGACTCTCCAACACCAGAGCATTGTCGACTCTCGACTACCTCGATAGACTGACATTGCTGAAGTCGCCTCACAGCCATCTTTGCGTTTATCTCTTGCAAACAATATGCATTCTTCCGGATGGCACTGGAGAAGAATAGCCCGTCCATCGGAATGCCACCAAATGACATAGAGGATGACCGCGGAGACAACTGTTGTTTCTGTCACCGACCTGTTGTCTCCCATCTACAATGTCTCACTAACTGGACTATATGAAGTCTAGGTTTGTCAAGCTGTCATGAGATGAGCGTAGTAAACCCTTCTGCGCCTGCCCTTTCACTCCCAGTCGCGGCCGCGCCAATCGCACAACAACACGCTACTGCTCTACTCCTTCCCTTCTCACCCGCTCACTCACCGCACAAACTCCGTCGCCTTCAGGCAGCTGGGCCCACTTCCATGTCAGACTGGCGCCTGCGCACTATATCATTTCGCCTGCCCCTGCCCTCATCAACGCCCTGCCACGCTTCCACCTCCAACAGCAACCCGAGAATCAGCGCAATCAACCACGGCCAACATGAGGTGCACCTTCTCCCTCTTCTGCGCCTTCCTTGCGCTTCTCGCGCTTTCTCTCGCAGCCCCGGACTCCATCGACGCCGACAGCCTAGGTGAGTGAGAAACCAGTCGATAAGCCCGCAATCGCTCTACTGACGTTGGAGAGCAGTCTCCTCCTCCGTTCAAGGAATTCCCCAAGGACCATCGATTGTCGGTACTTCTCCCGCCCCAGCTAGTTCCCAGGTATCATCAGAAGATACCCCCTCCGAAGGCGATTTGCTCGCCGAGCTCCATGGCTTCACTAGCACAAACACAACATTGTCGACTGCCAGCTCCGACGTTCACGTTGCCGATGTCGAGGAACAGTGGAAGCATCTCAAAGGCTGGTATCGTGTTGATGTTCGCCTCGGCAAGGGAGCTACCCACGCTGGAACTTTCCAACAGGGACGGATGTATGAACGCATCTACTCAATCCTCAAGAAGTGCAAAAAAGGATCTACCATAGACGACTGCTCTATTCGCAATGCGGTTTTCCGGGATGGAGACAACAATTATCGAACAGACTCGGCGCTCGTTCTCGAGATTGAGCACGAGTACTTCAATCCGGATTTACCAGATCTCCAGGACTTGGGAGTAAGCGTTGCTGTACTCTAAGTGGTCATGTTCAAGGGCTAACACATGTATAGTACCGTATGATGGCTAGCGTGTACCAGAAGATGACTGAAGTACCACGGAACTGCTTCAGAATCGGCGATTTCAAAGACAACAGCGGTGGTGACAGAGACTTGTTCTTTTGCTCCGTCCCGGCCGAGGCGTTGATAGTATACCCGACCAACGGAGGCCCAGTTCAGATGGTTCTCATGATCAAACTGGAATGGGATCACAAAACTTCCGATTGGACCTACGAATGTGATGGTAAATCGGACAAGGGCGTTGCAGAATACGCGACCCAACCATTCCGCAATGGTTTCAATGAAGAAATCGCCAAGATGCACGGATGGAGAGCAGACCGAGTTACCCCCTTCGTCGACTGTTATTCCCTCGGATGCTTCTACTATGATCCGAAAAACGATGGAAAGACATGGGATGAGCAAAATGTAAAATGTACACCGCGACGGGATCCGATAGGGTGTACTAAGGACGAGGGTGGTCCCAAGCCTGAAAACCATTGTCCTCCAAAGTACCCTGGATGATGGAGCATGCTCCACTGAAAGCCACAACATCATGGAGCTGGCGATCCCACTTCCTGGAATCCGAAAGTGAAGGGGCAGCTTATACTAAGATGTCGAGGTCGAGTCGGGCAGCCAAGGGCAGTGGTAGCAGTACTCTTACTGTAGTGTAGTTTCAGATAGCTAATAGCAGTAATGAGAATCTCGTTTGTATCAATATTGTCATGATCAGGATGCCTCGAAGGTGACTTCTGCCTTGACGTAATCAGCTCTACGGGGCTGGCAAACATTGAACAAGCAGAACATATGAGATGAGGTTGGGATTCGAATGGTCTGTGACTTTATGCTATCTCATTCAGTGTATGCATTAATCGTTTCGATAGCAAAGCCGTCTTACACCGCCTAGTCACCTCCCGAGACAAGCAAACTCTGCACATCCACCATACCGTGTCCACGATCGTACAATAGTTTACGCCCACGATGGAGTGGAAACTCCGCAACTACCATGACTGCGATACTCTTCACACCAGCCTTTTTCAGTAGATGTAGCACCGCGCAAAGAGTCTCGCCCGTCGACAATACATCGTCCACGACTACGACCGAGTCAGAGCCGATAATCGCGTTTCGCTCTATCTCGATGCGCTTTCCAATCTTTGCTTGGTTAGGAGCTTGGGAAGAGATATACGATGCGTTTTTCGTGGCCGAGATGGTAGGTGGCGGAAGCTTGCCAGCCTCGCGAATGGGCACGAGAGGCACGCCTACCAGCGATGCTAATGCCGGTGCAAAGACGAGACCGCCCACCTCGCAACAGACAATGGCATCGACGTTGGCCCAGCATCCAGTGAAGTGACTTTGTAGTAGTGATGCGCAAAGAGCAAGGCCACCTGGCTGCTGCGAGATTCCGAGTACATGTCGGAACCGGATGCCCGGCTTGGGGAAGTTTGGGATTGAGCGTACCATATCGGCCAGTGGTTGTAGGTCATTATGCAAGAAGGGAAGTATGGAGGCCTCGGCAAACTCTCGTACCGCGCCGTTTCCTGGTGTGTCGTTGACGAAGGTCGGATTTGGACGATGTCGCGGAGCTGCAGAGTCAGTCGTCTTCTCGGTGCGTACCCCACGAGCAACCCGTGAGGCTTCGCTGGTATCAACATGGACTTCGATCACTCTGCTCGCCGCCACTAGATGGGAGAATGATGCGACAGGTGCCTCATCCCTCATCCCCGTGATGAACAAAACATCGACATCCGCGCCTGCCGCATTGTGGACAACTTCAAGAAAGTGTTCTTCCGGTAGTCGGGGTCGTTCCTGGATTTGTTTCTCGTAGAAGGCTGTCAGCGCTGAACGGTGTTGCTCCTTATATGCCCGATCGTCTAGAAGGCGGCGGAAGTCGTTACCAGTCGCGTCGGCGAACTCGCGTTTCGTGACGTCGCTGATGCCTACAGCTTGCGCGCGAAGACCATGCATTGAAGAAGAAGCGTTGCCGTTAAGTTCAGAGAACACGGCGACCCATTCACCGGCACAGTAGTCCTTGCCGGCGCCGTGTTCGCCGGTAACAAGAATGATGAGTTTGGGCAACGGGGGCTTCGGCAACGGACAGGCCCACGCCAACACGTTCCGTGGATCCATCAGGCGTTTGAGACGACCGAGGCGCACGGTATTCGGCCCGAACGCCTTCTCCGCCAGCACTGCATCTCGGGGATCAGGTCCAAGGTCCGCTCCGTACGTGCCCCTGCTTAACGGCAGCAAGCTATCGACTACGTCGTACACCCATTGCACCGAAGCATGCGTAACGCGACTGCCATCCTCATCCCGAGGCCACACCCCGGTGATGACGCAAGCAAAGTCCCAGTCTCGGCAACCAAACGCAGTCGCTTCGGGTGTGACCTTGCCAGCCTTCCCGCCGCCATGCAGCAGATGGAGGTAACAGAGCGGCGACGGACGAGAATCGACCGCTGAGACTAGGCGACGAGCGATTATCGACCTTCCAATGTCCTTGAGAAATACGCAACGCTTGAAAGATGACGTCTTGCCGTTGCCATGCCCCCCGTGCATCGCAGACATGTACATCTCGGCTTCGAACGCTTTTACACCATTTAAGATATTGGTGTCGCTAGCGGTTCCCCATATATCGCCTTTGCGCTTTGACATGATAGTCGTCGGCGATGGGGAAGATGCGTCGTTCATCCTCCCAATACAGGTATGCGTCGGCGGAACAGAACTCGCTGCATCCATTTGCGACTATCTCGTCGAACTCCCGAAGTTTGCGTTTGGCTTCGGCATTGTCGCTCAAAGGGATTACCCAGTTTCGCGTGACAAACGAGTGGGCGTTATAGGCGCGAAGTGTTACGCTGAGTACGATACCAAAGTTCGTGCCGGCACCTTGCAGTGCCCAAAGGATGTCGGTTTCATTCTCTGGGCGACGAGCCTCCTTTGGAAGGTACTTGCTTGGCACACGGCCGACATAGAAGATCTCTCCAGAAGCCACACTGATGAGTACGGCGCCGACAATGTTGTCGCAGGTGAGGCCGTACATCCTCGTAAGATGGCCTATACCACCTTGTAGCCAGAGTCCGGCTCCAACACTTGGACGAGATCCTAGAGGTACAGTGAGGTCCTCATTCAGAGTTTTGCTGATGATATTGACTGTCGTGCATCCAGCCCCAACGACTGCAAGTGGAGTGAAGACAGCGTCTTGGTCCTCTTCATCCCCAACCTTCTTGAGTACATGTAGGGAGTCGAAAGCACTCATGTCGATTGCCACCACATTGGATCTGTGGCAATGTGCGCTGTGTCCTCCACCGACAACAGTCAGGCCAAGGCCGTGCTTGAGTGCCCACTGGACGCAATCTTGCACCTTCTCAATAGTATCTGGCCTGACGATAGCGGCGGGGCGTTGTAGACGAGCTTGTTGGTTCTTCACCGGGTTCTCTTCTAGCATCGGACCCACACGCATCTCCAATTCCTCCACTTTGTCTGCGTGGTGATTGAAAACCAACATGACTTCAGGTGCGGAGAATAGAAGGGTTGAGGGATGGCCGTCATCACGGTGGGCAAGATCACGACATAGCTTTCGCCAGTTTGCTAGAACAGCGTTGTCTTCGTCGGTGTCTTGCATGGTGAAGCCAGCGACGAAAGATGCGAATATATACAGTGCGTCATCTTTATCTGCTACGCCAACGAAACCGGTGGGATAGGAAGCCGAATGGTGGCAGGCCAAGCCGTCGATGTGGAAAATACCCTCACGACGGAAAACTGCGACGATTCCATCATCGAGGAGCATGTTCAACGCGTGCTTGATGAAACTGTCTTGCGGCTTCATACCGTACATGCTGTGACAAAAGAGAACGATGTCGTACTTCTCGATATCGGCACCACTCGGCGTGTCACAATCCGGATCGAAACGAGTACGGTAGATGACAGGATTACTCTCCAAGCAAGGAAACGGAGCTTTTGAGGTTGTATCCGTCTTCTCATGATCCTGCAACCACTTTCCCAGCTTCAGAGCATACAAGGCATTGGGTTCAAAAGCGGTGTACTTCCCAATCCTCTTTCGCAGGCTTCTATGTAGATGCCCGAGAATGCTCTTGGGGCCCGGGCCGATCTCCAGAACCGAGATCAACTTCTCTGATTGGTGTGCAGGAGCTAGGAGGTAGGATAGTTCTGGGATGATGAAGTCGCGGTAGATCGCCCAACTGGGTCCTTGGACGAAGGTTTCGAAGCCTGCCGCATATTGTTCGTCGGTCAAGGGCTCCCTGGAAGAGGTGACGGAAGGTTTGATGTTGGCGCTTCGCACTAAGGCCTGCTTGAGATAGTCGAGCGTGGCCATAATAGCTGGCGGCGACGCACGAGTACGCTGAAGATCTTTGCAATGACAGTATTGATACGAGCTTGAGCTGAGTTGGAATGAGAGTGCTACTCGACCAGCTGGGGACCGGATGGGATTTGTGCGGACTACGTTGTTTGCCATCACAGCGGTCGCAGCGGCAATACACATGTCTGCTCTGCCTTGATGCACATATCCGCCCGTCGGAGGTAGGTGACACCGGTAATGCACGTCTGCTATATGCAGCACGCTGTTTGATTATCTTGGATACTGTAAAACGTGTGGATCGGACGTATTACTGCATTTTGTTATTTCATACCCGATAGAATGAGTTGAACGTGTCTTTCACAAGCAATCTCACAGATTGCGATCTATCCAATTTTGCCCTCTGAGAGTTTCATAGAACGATCAGCAAATGGATCCACTTGAAGAGTGCCGAGCCCACAAACAACTTTGCGCTCAAGATCTCGAGATGTACAAAACCCATGATCGTGAAATATGCCGTGTAATATGCGTTGTGCTCGGAATTCAGAATTGTTCGGCTGTTGCAAAACCCTATTCCAAAGATTGCTGTGCGTACGATTTTAGCAGTGATGAAGACCGATATCAAGAACATTCTTAGCCCTCCATTATAGGCAAACATGTAGAGCCCGCAGTCCTGAAGAGATTATCACAGTGACGTGTATGAGGCAAAAAGTACTCCACAGCCTTAAGCATACGCCAACAGCATCGTGATCAGCATCTCCTAGAGACAACGAGTCCAAAAAAAAGGGGCGGCTTCGAAGGTGTAATACACCAAAGGTTTTAGATCCCGAAGGATCTACTCCAAATATTTTAGATCCAAAGGATCTATTCCAAAGCTTTGACCAAAGGGCCAACACCAAAGCGGTAGGTGTTAAAGGGGGGGCATACCAAAGGTTCAACCCTTAAGCCCTCAACACCAAACTGGTAACACCAAATTTGACCTCGAAAGATCAACTCCAAAAGATTTGTACACCGAAAAGCGTCTGCAGACTGATTCATCGGAGGTTTGAACTCCGGACCTTCAGTGTACTAACAGGCTTTTGAGGGCCTTTGTTAGACTGACGTGATAACCAACTACACCAACGAACCGTTATTGATGAAAGACGGCAAAAAAAGTTGGATTTTGTTAGCCACCAGTTTACTTCCAGGAGACAAGCTCAGTCTTCGTAGCAAGCTGTATATACGCTGGCGATACGATAAAATTCTGAGGTGCGGGGCAAAGAAGCTGAACCAGTTTTCTTCCGTCGTGGGTCGAAGTGGTTCGCCCCACCAAAGGCTACCATGGTGTGATAGAATGGAGTATAGTTGTAATAGGGTCGCTTGACATACAATCGGGTATGCAAACAAGTGTGGCTAGTCCGAGTATGTTTGTGTTGTTCATCGCGAACCGTCAATGAGTTGCCGACCGAACTTTGAGTGTTGGGTCTGTGAGAACACTGCTGGACTCGCATTCGTAACTATACACTTGCTTCTGCTTCAAAGCTGAAGAGAGCTTAGTTGTTCGGAGCGAGTGCTGTCGAGACAGAAGTTCGCGTTTGTGGGGAAATGTGCTGCCGCACCAAGAATGCCATTGTTGCCTCAGACCTTTTTTGCGCGACTTGACGCTAACAAGATCAATTACCAAGCTCAGCGACAGCTTGGGAGCGGGTAGCTGCCAGCTAGCAAACAGACAGGCGGGCGGTCTGCATCGCGCGACGCGGCTTGAAGCTACCGTCCGGGCGGAAGCTGTAACGTGGCTTGGTACAGCTGGGCGACCAACGACTTCCGCTGACCGCGCATCGAGCGAGCGTAGTCGTCACAATGTTGGCTGTCTCGCGCTCGTGATCGCGATAATAGATCGAAGAGGGTATGGGGTACTCTGCGCGTGGTGTTGAGCATGTGTGTGGTTGTCGGGGCTGTAGCTGTTCTGGACGCGTCCACGCGTGCCCAGGAGATCGCGGAGCGGGATCAGCAACGCCGACAGTAACAAACCTCCGTGCCCCTACGTCTTCCTCATCGTTCACTCTTCACCATGAGTCCAGTCTTCATGCCGCTGAAGAAGCCAAGCTGCGCGTAAGATTACAGCCAAGAACAAATCGATCGACTCCAGCGCATCTAGGCTGTGGGCTGCAGCACAGTCCCGCTGGAGCAAGCACACGTCAGCTGCACGCGCGCACCGTTCCTCACGACAAGTACCATGACAAGCAGCGTTCCGAGACCGACGCTGTGCTTCCTGCATGAGTCTGGAGACGATGCGAATCCAGCGACGTCCCCGCCGGCCAAGACATCGATTTGTCGCACCTCCGTAGGAGTTCCAGCCACGGGGTAGCGCACTAAGGCCGATCTGGAAACCACAGCCTAAAAGCAGACCACATCTCAAACCTCGCATCGCGTCTCTAAGGCTGCGACCCCAGCACCTGGCTCCGCTCAGGTATCTACAACTCCACTTGTTCAAGACGCCAAGTGTTGCGATCAAGGCTTGCCCCTTCCAAGCTCATCGCCGAGCCCTGTCAGTCTGGCCCCTTTGCCCCAGACGAACGCTGTGGAGGAGGTCTGCCTAAGGGTCGCATCTTGCTCGTGCGCGCCTGAAAATCCGGCGATCGATGCTCATTGAGGTAGACAACCCCTCGATTCGCCCCTTCGGCCACCTCCTGTATACCGCCGCTACTTGGCAAGTCAGCCTGAACGAGAAGCTATAGGCTTGGTGCTCTAAGCATTACCCAGTCTTCTTCTACCACTGTCAGGGCTTTAGATTTGGGCTTGGCCAGACTTCAAGCAGTCGAAAGGATTTGTGTGGTACGCGTCAGTGTTCGGAAGATCAGTACTCCAAGACCCATTATAGGGCCCCAGTGTGACAAGTGCATCGTTCACTCAACATGCAGTTGACCTTATGTGCCTCAGGCGGATCGCTCTCTCCACGTGCACTCGAAGAGGAACTCATCCATGACCACGCTGAGGCCTGGAGTAATCACACGGCTCAGGATCGTGGTCACCAACCCACTTGCAGTACCAGAACCATGCATTAGCCCCGGTAACTAAGGACGCTCCCCAGGCTTATCCGACCTTGGCTCCGCATCACAAAAGTTTTGACCCAACATCAAACAGCGGGAGAAGCTTGGCATGGCCATCGAAGGCAAAGCTCTGCCATGGTATGCTTGCCGCTACTTGGCGTAGCCTCAAGAAAGTTTCATGCCTTGACAGTTATGGTTAATTCATCTTGGCAGGTAACGACGGTGGGCCTGCGATACCACGACTATGGAGACTATGGAGACTCAGTGGTTTGCGTATAAGAAGACAGTAAACCCACTTCTTCTATTCTCCAGTCCGGTCACTCACTTCATTTCACTACCAACTAGTATTCACTTCTGTCGCCGGGCGACTTCTATCACTTAGTACATTTTTTGATCATCTAATCGTTCATCGAACCTCAATCATCCACCACTACCACTACCTTACCACCTAATCGAAAGATCCAACAACCCAACCGACAACATGCTTCCTCAACACGTCCTCTTCGCGCTCGTCGCCACTGTCGCTGCCGTCCCCCTTAACATCAACTTGGGTGCCTACTCGCCTGCCCTGGTAGTCGGTGATGGAGAGATCTCGCTGGGATCTACAGAATCAGCTTCAGAGTTGATGTCTACGCTCGCTTCGGGAGCCGCAGCCAACGCCGGTGGGGAGGGCGCAGCACAAGGTCAGCAAGAACAACCGGCCGCCGAACAGCCCGCAGCTGAAGGCGAGCAAGCTCAAGAACAACCAGCTGAAGGAGAAGCAGCTAAACGATCCAACCTTCGCCGCGCCGTCAACGACATCATCAGCAAGCGTGCTCCCGTTGAGCCCAAGATGGCCGCCGTCGAGGAGGCCATGCAATGGATCAAGCGCGACCTCGCTGGCTTCAACGCTGCTCTCGGCTACGCCAAGGAGGCCCAGAAGGACATGCCCAAGGTCGAGATGGGCACTGAGAACGCCGGTGTCGGTCTTCTCGTCAACCCCGGTGTCAACGTTCCCAAGGACTCTGCCGCCGCTGGCGCCCCTGCTGAGAAGCGCAAGCGGGATGAGGTCGTCGAGGAGGAGGACGCACCCAAGATGACCCTGGTCGCCATCACCGAAGTTTGAGCACTATACCCGACTTTGCATTTCAGCTAGCACATTCTCCCTCCAAAAGGCATCACGCGCCATGGGAGGAGGAGTTATACACGACAGTCATGTCACAAGCTCGATCTTGTATTTTCCGAGCGCAAGTTTTCTTTTCAGCAAGCATCAGCAGGATCACGCGCACTGCGGACCGGAAGATGAGGAGTTTTGGATAACGGTATTGATGGATGGATGGACGAACAAGGCAATGGAAGATGAGATAAAACGTCGCAAGATTTCAATAAAGTACTATTTGATCAGACCTCAGCTCCAACATGTCTCCTCACTAACACAATAGCATCTCATCTTCTGCAATTCGGCAAGCCGAGTCCACTGTTTACTTGCTTCTAACTCAGTTGCTTGGGTTCCGCCGCTGCACGACTCATTCCACCAACACCCATTGACATTGCATCCGTATTTCCCGCCTTGGACGTTTTACTCTCGTCGCCATCGAGAATCCACAAAGAATACCGACGTCTCTAGTCTCAAGTCGCATTAAAGTCTCAGTAACGTAACTTACAGCTCTTGGCAACGCCGCGGGTTCAGGGTCCAGGGTCCCGGGTGCGGAGCGTGAAACACGGCCCTGTCGTGTGGTCTGTGCGGTCGGAATGGCCTGGCGAGGCCGCCGGTGGGCTGGAGGAAAACTTCCCTTTTCTCAATGCTCAATTGATAAATTGAATCCTTCGGCTTTTGGAGGTCATAAGTTTCAACTATGTGGTGATGTTGCCCAGTGCAGTCTTCACAAGGTTGTTGGCCTGAATCATGTGGAAGTCGCAACGCAAACCGTTTGGCATGGACATTCGGAATTGTTCGCCGAGGCAATGAGAAAAGCGGAATCAGTAATCAGATGTGTGCGATTTACAGCA